AATAGAAGAAAGTGTTCTTATTTCACATATGGTTTATTGCTTCATTTATATATATGTATTATATGTGAAATGTCCGGATGATACAAATCTTTGGAAGATCAAAATCATCAAAGTTTTCCCTACATAGGTAATATTAATTGGGCAATAATATTACATAGTAGGCATGCTGAATGCCTCCGTAGAATATCATGTGATTGTATCAGTGTGGGTGATTGTAAACGTTATATCATTAGGCCATTAGCATGGATAAACAATTAGTGAACTGTTTATCAAATATGGCTATTTATGATGAATCACATGGATATTTAAAATGTAGTCAATGATTTATCATAAGATCGTACTAGTGTATTATTAATCCTTAGACTTGAGATATCACGGTTGGATTCTGCATAAACACATATGGTTCATATGGTGTACAAACATGAGGCTAATCATGTCATGTGTTAATAAGCTGATTTGGCCATGTGTTGTTTATGTGTGAGGACAAGTGATAGTCAAGATGTGATCCGTTGACTTGGTATAGATTGATGTCAAGTTCTTAGACAAATGTCAAGATACATTAGAAAAGGGAAATCTCTGGCCAAAGTATATAAAATGTTACTTAAAAGGTTGTTTCATGGTGACATGTTCCATATGTATTGATTGTCAATTTGATATAAAATTAAGATAAGGATTTTGACATACCAAGAATCTATTTTTAATTTGGATTAGACAACGGAAGGATTTGATTATACAACGCGTATGATTATAAAGGGTTCGTTGAAGTATATCTTCATTGTTACTTAGGGGTAATGGAACATTGCTAGATGTCTACCATAATCGGTGGGAGTTTTGTTCATAAAGATTTATGACAAAATATATCGAAATAGACTATGATATTGGGTCCATGACTAGGCCACAGTGAACCTAAGAGGTCACACATAAAAACTTAGGAGAATGGAGAATGGAGAAATAGCCAAAGAGAGTTAATTATCCAAGGTTAGCTAGCACCTACCAAGGGTAATAAAGTTATTTATATTATTATTATTGAATTAGATTCAATGGAGGGTTATATTAGTTATTATGAATAATTTAAGAGTTAAATTTCTAATTGGAATTAAATGGAATTCTAATTCATAATTAATCATTTTCTTTATATTAAATTGGATTTAATAATGGGTTGTAATTGTAAACATATGAGCAATTTAAGGGTTAAATTGTTAATTGTGATTAAATGTTAATCTAATGCTATTATTTAAAGAAGTTTAACAACTTCATANCCATGACTAGGCCACAGTGAACCTAAGAGGTCACACATAAAAACTTAGGAGAATGGAGAATGGAGAAATAGCCAAAGAGAGTTAATTATCCAAGGTTAGCTAGCACCTACCAAGGGTAATAAAGTTATTTATATTATTATTATTGAATTAGATTCAATGGAGGGTTATATTAGTTATTATGAATAATTTAAGAGTTAAATTTCTAATTGGAATTAAATGGAATTCTAATTCATAATTAATCATTTTCTTTATATTAAATTGGATTTAATAATGGGTTGTAATTGTAAACATATGAGCAATTTAAGGGTTAAATTGTTAATTGTGATTAAATGTTAATCTAATGCTATTATTTAAAGAAGTTTAACAACTTCATAATAATTATGGAATTATTTACAACTCCAAAAACAATTATGGAATTGTTTAAGGAAGTCCAAAACAATTATGGAATTGTTTAAGGAAGTCCAAAACAATTATTGAATTGTTTACATGGCTACATATATAAAGAAAATGATATATCAATTTTAGGGTAGAGATCAAAATTTCTAAGAACCCTAAATGTCTCTCTTGGCCTAATTCTTCTTTTACCTTAGTGTAGATATTCTTTTGTTTAATTTCTCTTGAAATTAGAAGTCTTCAAGGTTGCTAAGGACTTGAGGTAACAAGTTATACCTTACTTGTTTTCAATTTGATTGAATTTTTTTTGCAAAATATGAATATACATGTTATAGTATCACATGCATCATTCTCCATGTATTCCATCTTTCACCTTATACCTTTCCCATGCTTCATAAAATGACTCCAAGTCTTCTTGGTAGAAATTTGTAATCTCACTTCTCAGCTTGGCAAACTTGGCAGGTGGAAAATATTTAGTAAGGAACGCTTGAGCTAACTCGTTCCATGTCTTAATGCTCCCAGATGGCAGAGAAATCAACAAAGCCTTAGCTTTATCCTGAAGAGAGAACGGGAAAAGTCTTAGCCTAATTGCTTCATCGGATACTCCATTATGCTTGAATGTGTCTTATAACTCCAGAAAATTGGCAATATGCAAGTTGAGATCATCATTAGGCAACCCTATAAATTGGACCAACTGCTGAATCATTTAAATAATTGCTGGCTTGATCTCAAAATTATTCACTTAAACTGGTAGTCTCTTGATGCTAGAATCGCACCCATCAACCTTTGAACCACTACTGCTCCACCAGTTGCATTGCCCCTTGCGATATCCTTATTCTCATTCTCCTGATTTTTCACATTGGGATTTATAATTCCCCTGTTAGCCATTGATTTTTCTAAGCTAGCTTGCCTCTTTTCTTTCCTCAACTGTTTAGCCGTTCTCTTGATTTCAGAATCAAAAGGATTAAGATCACCACTACATTTTGAACGTAAGCTCTCCAGGATCTAAATAAAAGAAACAAACACAACAAAATAAAATAAAAATTAATTTCTAAGCAAAAATAAAACAAATCAAATTAGCAACTAAATATTTCGTATTGATATTGGTAAAAAAGAAAAATAGTTCCCCAACAACGGCACCAAAAACTTGATAGGCTATTCGCAAGTGTACGAAATGACGCAAGTAGTAAAGCTCGAGTAAACGAGTATCGAATCCCAAGAGAACTACCTACAAAATACCAAACTAGTCTACTTTATTGCTATTTCATGAAACAAAATTTTAAGAATGAATTTAATGAAAAATAAAATAAATTAAAAACTAAACAAAAGAAGAATTTTATTAATACTTTAGTAAAAAGATCAATATAACTAAACTTAGGGCATAGATTTTACACCAATTAAATCATATGCATTGACAATTATTGCTAACCTAATTAAACTTATTCTAAAGGCCAAACTCCCTAATATTCCACTAACTTTCTCTCGAACAATTAGTGAATTAACCCTTAAGCAACAACCCAAAATATCTCTAAGTTGGATTTAGGAGCTAAGAGATCATGAAGTTCTATGGAATTTACCAGAGCTTCATAGATCGCGGTAACCTATCTCTAGCGTTCGCTTAATCTATGGTTTTATTATCTTAGACGAATCATGTTTCATCTCTTGATCTCAACCCAACCCATGGTATCAGTCAACTTTCGAATCCAAAAGAATTAAAAGTATTACACACAATAATAAAACTTAGAATTAATGCTCAATTAAAAATCAATAGCAATAACGTTAACACATATTCATACATTGGGCTATATCTTTAGCCCTAGAAAAGGAATTTAGTTCATAATTGCAGTAATAAAAACAACCATTGTATTAACAAACATGAGTTCAAGAAAGAAAAATAGAAAAAACTTCTTTAATTGACGAACAAGAACTGCAGGAATTCCGATCTCCAAAATAGTAACTGCTCTTTCTCCTTCTCTAACCTCCCTAAAAACTAATTAAAGACCCTTATTTATAGTGCTAGGGTTTGGAGGTTAATTAGGAAAGAATTAAATGCCTTAAACCATTCAGATTCGGACTATGAGAATACGATAACACAAACAGGCCAGTGATCCATCACTACGGTGATTGTTCTTTCTATCCTACGAGTCTAGAATCTTTAAAATTTGGAAAAGTCATCAAATTAAGTTTGTAGCTCTCTGAATAAGCTTTCCAACGCTACAAGAATCATCAAATTCTGATTTCTACAGCTCAAGTTATGATCGAAACATCAAAGCATACTCATCTCCATAAATTTCTAGGTTTTACGTCTCATCTTTAACGCGTCACAACTTTCTCGTTTCAACTCCGTTTCTTGCACCATTTGTTCCTACTTGTCATGAATTTCATCAATATCATTTTTCTTTATTCAAATTTTATTTTTAATCTGAAAATACTCAACATACACCTCGTGATCCCGTAAAAGGTATTTATAAAGTAATCGACTCAAATTTAACAAATTAAACACATTTTTTCACAAATAATCTAATTGAATTACTAATAAAATATGTATTTTTAAGCTCTTATCAGTGGCTAATTGATGCACTGCCGTTTTAGGTTTGCTACTTGAATGAATTCTAAGGCTTGAATCATAACATATTTGTTTAAGATCTATTTGCTTGTCCTAATCAAATTTATTATTTATATTAATCTGAGTCAACGAAGTAGTTACTATTATTACCATTATTTTCAAAGCTCAATCCAATTACAGTAGAATTCGAATCAAGGAAATCATATTTTCTAAGATTTGGTCACATTTGTAACTACAAAATGCCCAATAAGTTTAAAAAATCATTATAATATGTACTAAAGACACACATTAAGATAATTGAAAAAAAAAAAAATATATTTTTTATAATTTTGATTGTTTTATGTGCAAATTGTCGTCTATAAATAAAATAAACGTTATGACAACTCTAAATTTTATATGAAAAACATAAAATATTCTTTAATTTTTTAATTAATACTAATTAGTTTTTAAAATAAATAACATTTTTCCTTTAAATTCTTCAAAACAACCTTTCTTAAAATTAAATAAACATTAGATGGTATATATAACGAATAGACAATTAGACGGTGAAGAAAAATTATTAAAAAAATCATTTAATATTTATTTAATGACTTTCTTACAATATAAATTTATACAAAAATCCGAAACGAATGGATCAGAGTTAATTCTTGTATACAAAAGTTGAATTGAAAATTTACTAAAATATATGTGAATATACGGTTCCGCTTGTATGGATCCAAATATGTAGCCAGTAAGATGATAGATTCCTCTTGACTTGGTTCAGTTTGGAGCACGTTTTTGTTTTAAAACTGATTTCAGTTCCTGTGTTGTTACAGCAAAACTCATACTATAATTTTTTAATCCATAAAAGCTTCCCTCTCTTTATCTCGTTTGAGTCAAAACCAACCTCCATAGAAACGGACACTCCATCCGTGACATTCCTCTGTGACTTTGTCTCTCTGTAAATATCTCTATTTTTATTTTTAGTTTTATTGTTTATTTTGGATAATACCCTTATTTTTAATTTTTAATTTTAATTTATTCTTAGCTTTCACGAGATGCTTGAACTTATTGCTTCATTCTTTGTATTCTTTCTTTGCTGGTAACTTGTTCTCTGCGTATATATATAGAGCTTTAGACTTTGAGAGTTCACATGTGTTTAAGCTTTGAACTTTTCAAACCTTCTATTGTTGTCTTTTATTGAGGTTGAAGTGTGTGCTTTTGGGGTCTTGTTGGAATTTGTTTTCATCAAGTTTAGATTTTGGCTTCTGGGTATTGTTCAAAATTGTCTCTCTCTTTTTTTTTATTGCTTTCTGGGGTTTTCGTAATACTTCATGTTTTGATTGTTTTGTGTAGAATTTCAGCCCAAGATGTTTGATTTGAGTTCTTTTGATGCTTGTTTTACTTGAACTTACTCAAATTCTGGGAATTTCTGAATCTGGGAAACTCATGTTTGTGAATATACTGGTTCTGTGATCTTGATGAACTTAAATTGTTAGTTTAGTGATTAGTACTTAATTAAATTAACTTTTGGAGATTTTTAATCTGAATTTTGATAATAATGAAGGTTATTGTGTGCTTTAAAGTTTTGATTTTGTTTCTCTTATCTGGTTTGACTCTGGGCAAGGAGTGTACAAACACTCCTCCACAGCTCTCATCTCACACTCTTAGATATGAACTGTTGTCATCCAAAAATGAATCATGGAGAGAAGAGATGTTCTCTCATTACCATTTGACGCCAACCGATGACTCGGCTTGGTCTAATTTGTTACCAAGAAAGATGTTGAGTGAGGAGAATGAATATAGTTGGGCCGTGATGTACAAAAAAATGAAAAATCCGGGCGGATTTAAAATGGTTGGAGGTTTTCTCAAGGAAGTGTCGCTACATGATGTAAAGTTGGATCCGAGTTCATTGCATTGGCGGGCACAACAAACAAATTTGGAGTATCTACTGATGTTGGATGTGGATAGTTTGGTTTGGAGCTTTCGAAAAACTGCTGGTTTGCCAACGCCAGGGAAGGCATATGGAGGTTGGGAAGACCCAACTACCGAGCTCCGTGGTCATTTTGTAGGTATAAGATTAATTTCTGATTCTTTTTAAAATGTGGTTCAGATGTCGTAACAATGTCACATATTTCATTGTGATTACTTTTAGATTATATTTTCATTGAAGAAGGCAGTATTACATTCTATACGTTATTGTCCATTTATTGAGTAATTGTATTCAAAATGTTAGTCTGTTGGAAGGCAACAGCGTGAACGGATGTCATCTGAATATCTGGAATCACTATAGGTATGTTTGCTGGTTGTGTGTGGATAGGGTACCTGGAGGATTTTGCATGTTGGATCTGTTAACTTAATTCACTTAACTTCGAATTTTGGCTTCTATTTATTTTATTTTTGGAAATTGTAACTGCAAGCTTTCTCAGCTGCAATTGTTTTCTCTAACTCATTAATTTTTTTTTTTTTTTTTTCAATTTTTTGGTGCACACTGTAATTGTTTAGTTGTTCAAATTTTAGTCTGTATGAATGACTGTTTTTAAAAATCTTGAAGGGCATTACTTGAGTGCATCAGCAAATATGTGGGCAAGCACTCACAATGATAGCCTTAAACAGAAAATGTCAGCTGTGGTGTCTGCTCTATCTGTTTGTCAGAAGAAACTAGGCACTGGATATCTCTCTGCTTTTCCATCTGAGCTATTTGACCGTTTTGAAGCAATAAAACCTGTCTGGGCTCCTTATTACACCATTCACAAGGTAAATTTTGCTTTCTTGTTGCACAAGATGCAAATAATTTATCTCTTCTTTATAAAAGTTTTATAATTCGCTTTAAATTTGTCTGTTTTGACAGATCCTTGCAGGCTTATTGGATCAGTATACATTTGCTGATAATTCTGAAGCTTTAACCATGACAACATGGATGGTTGAGTATTTTTACAATCGTGTTCAGAATGTAATAACAAAGTATACTGTGGAAAGACACTGGTACTCACTTAATGAAGAAACTGGAGGCATGAATGATGTGCTTTACAGATTATTCACTATAACGGTAAGGAATCTTATGCATGTAAATCCACTATCTGCTCATCTGATTCCATACTCCATTACATTTTTGAAATTGTGCTGTATACTTGGTTGGAATAAGTATCAGCAAGAATGACCCTGTTTTGTTACATGCTATTCTATAAGTGCTATGTCCTGGAAAATGGGTTTTGGTTATTCATGACATGATAGTATATTGCAACATGTACTTATATAACAACGTAATCTCATTCAATGATTCCATACTCAGTTATATGGGAAATAAGTATTTGGGACAAAATCTCATTCGATGATTCTAAGTTTGCATTATTTCTATTTAGGTTGGTTTTTGTAATCTTGTGTCATCTTATCATTGTGTTTTTAGTTATATAGTTGTGCAGTTGTTAATCATCGTTAATATTGTTTCTGACATGAGCTTTTTATGTTACTGTCCTCAGCAAGATCCAAAGCATTTACTGTTGGCTCATCTGTTTGACAAACCATGCTTTTTGGGATTGCTTGCAGTACAGGTAAATAACTGCTTTGCTGTTTATTGGCAGTTTGACATCAGTATGGTACACTGATTTTATCAGACCAAAGAATAATTCAGAAAATAGTAGTAAACTTCTGTTTAGTGACATGGGGAGTATTCTTTGTATTTGATTATCCTAACTGGTTCATACATGTAGCAAAATGAATCTTGTTAGCAAGTCTAAACATTTAAATATTCCAGAGAGGGAAAGTTTAAACCAAGTTACTATAACTGACACAGATGTCTTCTGGTTGACTGGAGATTTTGTGGTGTTGAAAGATATGATTAGGTTCTCTACAGAATTTGAAGTAATGACTTGTTGACAGATTTAATTTCTGAACTTCAACAAAAATTTAGCCTTGGATACTCTTTAGGATAGGGCTGCGGAGTTAGAGGGGTAAAAATTATGTAGAAGTTGTGCAATGAGGTAAAAATTATGTAAAAGTTGTGCAATGAAGAGATGAATTATTTGCTCTTGATGTTAGTTCATAAAAGTTCTTTCTTTTGTTTGTAGGCTGATGATATATCTGGTTTCCATGCCAATACACATATCCCAGTTGTAATTGGATCTCAAATGCGGTATGAAGTCACTGGTGATCTACTTTACAAGGTAACTTGCTTATGTGAAGATTATATTAGCTGATTCACTGCATTCAATACGGCATGGCATCGTCTGGATTGCTTGCACCTGCTTCCCCCCTGTCTAGCTGGCCTTAAATTTTTACAATTATTTTTATTCTGGTGCTTGCTCTTCATAATAAGTTTATTTAGTTTTCAGAGTTTCCTATCATTGGCTTTTCTTTCAGTTTAAATCTTTTGATTCAGTGACTACATAGGCACTGCTTTTTTTATTTTGATGATGTTAAAATTAGATAAAGGATTCTCTTAAAAGTTATTTTAGAAAGTAATTATTTTTGCTGTCTAACAATGGTTTACCAGGCGATGGGTACATTCTTCATGGACGTTGTCAACTCTTCTCACAGTTATGCAACTGGAGGAACATCAGTTGGAGAGTTCTGGTACTAATATTATAACTTATAGTTTGTCCTTCTTTCATTTATAATAAGTTCTTGCTCCTACCTGAATTTGCATATCCTGTTCTGAGATTTTCTAAAACAAGAATTAATTTATGGCTTTATGTGCTTACTTTATCTGATTATTGGTGGTTTCCTTCTCATTTTCTGATCCTGGAATTTTCTTTATTCCTTGTCTCTTTCAATGAGTAGGTCAGACCCAAAGCGATTGGCAGGCACTCTAGAGACTGAGAATGAAGAATCGTGCACAACTTATAACATGCTGAAGGTATGTCCATTGCCTGGAATTCTTGAAGGTTAAAATGGTTTCTGTTACTTATTCTTTGAAAGATTATTGCTGGCTCTTAATATGTAAAAGAAAAAGATGCTTCATGTGAGGATATCCTGTCACAGTTTTTTTTGTTCTTAATTTCTCTTTTTAAAATTACTGGCATGGAAATATATAATTTTTTTTTTTTTTTTTACTGGATGGAAATGAAAAATATTGATATCTGCGAAGAGTGTGATTGTCTATTCCCAGTTCCATTATGGATATAGCTTTTGGAATCATCCTTTTTAGTGATCATCGCGTTACATTTTTTCGTACTCTCTCTGCACGTACATTTTTTCATACTCTGTCCGCATAAAATACAAATGGTGTGTGACTTTATTGATAATATTTATGATTTTGCAGGTCAGCCGTCATCTGTTTAGATGGACAAAAGAAATGGCATATGCAGATTATTATGAACGTGCCTTGACAAATGGTGTGCTTGGCATCCAACGAGGAACGGAGCCTGGAGTAATGATTTACATGCTTCCACTAGGCCGTGGAGCTTCAAAGGCCAAAAGCTACCATGGTTGGGGAACGAAGTTCAACTCTTTTTGGTGCTGTTATGGCACAGGTATGATATACATGGAGTATGTTCAACTTTTCATTTCACATGAAATTGATCTGCTCTATTTTTCTTTAATCTCCTGTAATGACAAAGATACAGATTTTATTCTCATGTTCTTTGAATTTAATAATTGGTTTTCTCATCTCTGGTGGTTTGTCCAAGTCATTAATCTGCTATGCCACTCTGTGTTTCTGCATTGAATGCTGACGATTATTAATTGATGTTATGTTCTTCCGTTGCTCCGGTCATTGATAGATTTTCTTCTTGCTGGCCATGTAGGAATTGAATCATTCTCAAAGTTGGGAGATTCAATATATTTTGAAGAGGAAGGAGATTCTCCTGGTGTTTACATTATCCAATATATATCAAGTTCATTTGACTGGAATTCTGGACAGATTGTTCTGAATCAGAAAGTTGATCCTGTCGTTTCATGGGATCCTTTCCTTCGCATGACATTGACATTTTCTTTGAAGGAGGTACTGGCTGCATTTAAATTAAGATTTGGCATTACCTGTATTTGTTTTTATACTTAATTATTAGTATACTATAACTCTACCCGTAATGCTACACATACAAAGTTGAGATTCCAACTTTATATCCCTAGTAATATGGCAGTTTATGTGTCAATACCACATTGATTAAAGGGAAGTTATTTATTTATCCCATTATCCTATAATCAATGTGATGCTGATACATAAACAGCCATATTACTTGGGATTCAAAATTGGGATATGTAGCATTATTCATAATTCCACATGCTAACATTGATCCGTATAGAAGGTAGCATAACAGTAATGACTTTTTGAACTAATCTCCATCTATCTTGTGCTAGGAAATTATTATCTGAGCTCTCTGGCGACTTAGAGCGAAGACTTTGGTACCTAACAGACATTATATAGAATTTGAAAAATTAATAAGATGGGAAGGTGGTAATAATATATTGTAACTGGACAGATAGAGACACATGACTGTATATTGTGCAGTTTTAGGAGAAAAGAACTGGGAATAAATTTCTGTACTACCGAGGTTCTTTAACTGCAAATGAGGATGATTTCAAATAGATGTTAAAAGGTCAAAGATTTTCTGTGGAGAGCTCAGATGCTAAAAGGGGAGGAGGGAATTTTTTTNATCCCAACTTTATATCCCTAGTAATATGGCAGTTTATGTGTCAATACCACATTGATTAAAGGGAAGTTATTTATTTATCCCATTATCCTATAATCAATGTGGTGCTGATACATAAACAGCCATATTACTTGGGATTCAAAATTGGGATATGTAGCATTATTCATAATTCCACATGCTAACATTGATCCGTATAGAAGGTAGCATAACAGTAATGACTTTTTGAACTAATCTCCATCTATCTTGTGCTAGGAAATTATTATCTGAGCTCTCTGGCGACTTAGAGCGAAGACTTTGGTACCTAACAGACATTATATAGAATTTGAAAAATTAATAAGATGGGAAGGTGGTAATAATATATTGTAACTGGACAGATAGAGACACATGACTGTATATTGTGCAGTTTTAGGAGAAAAGAACTGGGAATAAATTTCTGTACTACCGAGGTTCTTTAACTGCAAATGAGGATGATTTCAAATAGATGTTAAAAGGTCAAAGATTTTCTGTGGAGAGCTCAGATGCTAAAAGGGGAGGAGGGAATTTTTTTTTTAATATTATTAATTCTTTCAAGATGAACTGGCACTCGTAACTAGATGTGAAATTTAATATTTTTATTTTGCCTCCTGTCGTAGAAGTGTTTAGAAGAAATATTTAGATTCAGATAACCTTATAATAGTTATTTTCTTTGTGCCAATGCTCTCAGTAACATTTTGTCATCGGGAAGGGTGTAGTCATTATTCATACTGGATCATAAACTTGATTAAGGGATTCAAAAAAAAAAAAAAAAAAGAAAAAAAAAAAAAGAGAGCAGTATTCATGATGTATCTAATATGTATGCAGGGCGGGAGCAAATCATCTTCCTTGAATTTGCGGATACCGACTTGGACACAATCAAATGGTGCCAAGGCAACATTAAATGGCCAGAGTTTAACTCTACCGGCTCCAGGTGTGGAACAAATTATAATCTCTCTTTTTCAAAGTCTTATTCCAGGAAGTATAAGTGACTCACCGTGTTTTTCTCTATTATATTTTAATTTTATTATTCCTCTGATGCTTTTCGCTTGTGTCATGTATTTTGTTTCTTAAAATGACAATTAACAAATGGAGTTAAATTCCTTTGTGCAGGTAACTTTTTATCTGTCTCTAAAAAGTGGAGCTCTGGTGACAAATTAACCCTTGAACTGCCCATTACTCTAAGAACAGAGGCTATTAAAGGTATTGACATAAAATAATTTACTCACACAAAACATGTGCTGATCCTTTTATAGGCTTTTCATTATAAATTTGTATTATATGCAACTGATTCTTTTGATATATAATTCTTCACTAATGGAGGGGTTTTTTTTTTTTTTTTTTCTCCTTCAGATGACCGGACTGCATATGCTTCTGTTCAGGCAATACTATATGGTCCTTATCTGCTTTCGGGTCACACCAGCGGGGACTGGGACATCAATACTCAGTCAGCTACATCTATTTCTGACTGGATAACTCCAGTTCCCGGTTCATATAATGCTCAACTAGTTACTTTTTCACAAGAGTCTGGAAACTCAACTTTCGTCTTAACAAACTCCGAGCAGTTGATTACAATGGAAAGTTATCCTGAATCTGGCACCGATGCTGCTCTACATGCAACTTTCAGACTGATCTTGGAGGAACCATCTTCCTCAAAACTTTCATCTTTCAAAGATGTTATTGGCAAGTCAGTCATCCTAGAACCTATCGATTTTCCCGGAATGCTTATAGCACAGCAAGGAGATGGTGAACTTGTGGTCACAAATTCTCCTAGTGATGGGGGCTCTTCTATTTTCCGCTTGATTGCTGGATTAGACGGAAAGCCTGGAACAGTATCCTTGGAGTCCAAAAGCCAAAAGGGCTGCTATGTGTATAGTGGTGTGAACATAAAGTCAGGCGCAGGCATGAAGCTCAGCTGCAGTACAGAGTCATCAGAAACTGGATTTAACCAGGCAGCTAGTTATGTAATGGAAAAAGGAACAAGTCAGTATCATCCAATCAGCTTCGTGGCAAAAGGCGCAAAGAGGAATTTTCTTCTGGCACCATTACTGAGCCAAAGAGATGAATTTTATACTGTTTATTTCAACATTCAAGCTTAACCGCCAATGATGCATCGACAGGAAAATAAACAATCCTTGCTTTTCTCAGACTGGCGACACATTCCGCCTCACCGCTTTTCTCAAACATTTTGTGGTCTGCAATGGCTAAAGTCAGATTTCATTTACATGCTTAAGCCTGACAAAATAATATAGGGAGTAGACTAAAATCCCACCAGGAAGAAATAGCCATTAGGAAAACAGAATCCTGGTGTTAGTCTTGTTATTTCTTGTAATCTTATATTCTTGTAATCTGGGGTTCAGTTTAGTTTCATCCATGCCATATGAAAAATTTACTGCAATAATAAGACATTTCAAAGATGGTGCTCTTTTTTTATTTTTATGTTTTATAAGGTAATTGATATGGTACTGCCTCAATAACATTATTAAGATCGATTTGATGGCACTGTCGCGTTGGTTAAGTTTTTTTGCGAGTAATTGTGAGAGTACTATTACATCTACAATTTTTTCTCATAAATTTTCTTTAACAACTCTGACGTGACAGTTCAAAATTGGTTAACTGTAAATTATCAGGTGAGACCTATTGCGAGTTGATTAATTGCGAACTGTAACGTCAGGATTGTGAGAGGAATTTTGTGAGAAGAGGTTGTTAGTGTAGCATTTTTCGATTGTGGATGTATCATTACTTTTCTCAACACAATGTTATAATCTATCTTTTTTCTGTCTTTGGTTATAACACAACATTGTAAAAGTGCGTTTTACAAGTTTGACGTTTTCAGCTTATAAGTTTCACGTTAATGTGTTGATATAGTACTCCAATGTAGCAAAACCCTGGTAGATAAGTACAAATTATTAATAAAAAATCTACATATTTTGCTATATGAAGTAATTCTACTGGCTAATATAGGAGGTATTTGTCTGAGCTTATAAGTTGGTCAAACCAGCTTACAAGCGCTAAAATCAAACCAACTTATTTGTTTATAAAGTTGGGGGAACCTTATTTTTTTTTGCTTATAAGAACTCTGCTTATAAGTTACTTTAACAAAGTAGCTTACCATATTACCCCTATTTAATTCATTATAATGTTCATTAGTTTATTTTGTATAAAGAATCTAAAAATTATTCATATAAATTTTTAATGAAATATTTGTCTATAAAGTATTTGTTATTTAATTCTAAAATTAAATTATATTGTAATATGATCTAAATATATTTTGATAATATTATAGTAAAAAATTGAGTTAATATAATTTATTATTTTATAAAATAATGTAGAACCCTTTTTAGTTATTTTAATAATAAAATGTACTTATAATCCACATTTTACTAAACGCATCAACTACTTATCAGTCACTTATAAATACTTTAACTAAATATGTAACTGCTTAAATTTTAAATGCTTATAAAATTACCTAACTGCTTATAAGATAATTTTGATAAGCTCGACCAAACAGGCTCATAGATAAGTTGGATGTAATATTGTTCATATGGTAATCTTAAAGCATCACCTTCTAGGCTTTAGCACCATTCCTCATTTGGTAACTACAACTTTAGTTACTAACAAATTATAGGCTTAAATTGTCATATCTGTTTTTAATAAGTTTTCTCTTTTAGGGGTTAATAATCTTCTATATTTTTATCCTTTCACTACCATTACTCATTTAAGTAACTGTTGATATAGAAATATGCACTAACTAGAGAATTTCGATCGACTTTGGCGAGATCAGAATGGATGTGCGCGTGATTACAAATAATCAGCAATTGACAAGTATTGAACGCAATAAATTAAATGACAATGATAGTTTTTAAAGTGGTTCGGCGAGGTAAACTCTTAAGCGTACATCCATTGCTTTTTGTATTTGCTGTAAGAGCTTACAATGAGAATTCTGTGAAAATTTTGTAGCCCATTTTCCATCATTTGAGGGGGTTTATATACAATGTTTTTACAAAGGAAAGAGCGAAAATAAAAGGATTACAATTGATTTGAATTGCAATTCCGATATTCTTGCGATTGGGCACTGTGATTGCATAGATATTGTTGATCTAGTCATTCTCGCGATATCTGAGATATAAAGTTATCTGGGAGTTAATTGAATGATCATTCAGGTTGTTCGCGATTGGCTTGTGTTGGGTCAAGCTATATGTTGACAAGCTTATGCTGGGTCGGACAACCGGTGGAGTTGGACTGATCCTGGGTCGAGCTATATCCTCGTGGTAGCTCGAGCTTGGTGGAAAAATCACACACAACATCGGCCACCTAGTGATTGATGCTCGTTTCGAGCTTCAAAGACTATTGCTCGATTTGATACCAAGCTTGCCATTAATAACAAGTCTTCAGATGTAGGTTCGGCAGAGCTCCTAGGGTTGACCTCATGTCCGATCGACGTGCTTCACACTTGTTTACTTCCTGCGATACCTGTCAAACTCAGAATATGAAAAGTTAGGGAAAATATGTAATTTCCATGTGATCATGTCACATTAAATGCGGTAGCCTTTGTCAGTCATGCTTCATCGCTTGTGGGCATCTACAACTGTCCATGTGCGAAGTCTAGGTGATGTGCGACGACGGTTATCAGTGCAACAGTCTGACGGTTCCTTGCCCCTCACGAATGGAGGACATGTGGCCACGTCTAAGGGTCGAGATTGCTCGACGAATGAAGGGTCGAGATTCACTACAGATCGACGGCTGTGATTAAACCCTGACCTTTCGTCTTCCATGCAAGCCACTATAAAAGGAGGCGAAGTCGTTAGAATGTTCATTCAGTCCACGAAAGTTTTCTGACACCTTTGTTCACTTTGCTGTTCCTTTGTTGTCGTCACGATGCTCTTTCTGTCGAGTTTCTTTACTTCTTTTATTTCGGTAAGGTTCTTTTCCCTTTCTTTATCCGTTTTTCCAACTTTCACATCAAAGGATGGCTACTGTCGTGACCACATTGAATATTCTAGGGCTTTAGTAGGGTTTTTGAATGCATCTTTGGCGGTCGGTCTAAGGAGGGCTTAACGTTGTGGCTGCCGGAACCCCGAGTAGATCGCGTGCGTTCATCATGTGGCCCGAGCTATCCTGGGTGCCTGAACTAAAAGCAAGTGTGGAATGATCGCCGAGTTTTTCAAGCTCTGACATATGTTCGCTTCTGTTTCAGGTACCTAGAAGCGAGCTATAACCATGTCTTCTTCCAGCAGTCACACAATTGATCACAAGTTCGATTCGCCCGCGGGCTTGGCGGTCCTTGGGGATTCAACTCCCGAGGTCTCTGAGGAAATCATCTTGCGAAGCTTGGACCCTAACACGGCAGGCTCTTCTGACCATGCCTCGATATAGTTGGCTCAATCCAGTCGGTCTTCGGTTGATGGGTTTCGAAGAGAGCCACAATCCTTGACTATTGTTAGGGATTTGGAGTGCATAAGAATGCTCTATGCGCCGCATCTTAATTTGATGGTTCCGAGGGACTTTTCTCGAAAGAAACCCCCGCCTGAATGGGTGGTGATCTCAGAGACCTTCCTAAGATGTGGGGTATCCATTCCCCCTCATTGTTTTGTTGACAACGTGCTGAAGTGGTTTGACATCATTCCTCTCCAACTATCCGCAAATTCGTATGTAATTATCATCACTCTGTACATGGTGTATATGATCATTGAATTGGGCGAGCCATCTGTCGAGGAGCTCGTCCATCTGTATAGGCTTAAGAAAGGGCAAGACAAGACATGCTACCTTTCCAAGGTGAAGAAGGTACGTTTCAATGGGCTAGTCGATGTCACAAAGAAGGCCCCGTACTAGGACTCACAATTTTTCTTCTACGAAGCCGGGGAGACCCATGCCTTTGCTTCAGAAGTGAGTAATACTTTGACTTTTCGTGTGCGTGAGGATTGCTTTAGAGCTTTGTGTTCTAGCTAATTGAGTTGCTTTGTTTTGCAGTTAACGTCAAACATAACTATCTCCTTACCACGAGCTTGCAGAGGCTCCAATGTTTCAACGACCTTCTCGAGGGATAACGTAACATTAATGATATCATTATGCTCCCTCATCTGCGAGCATACAGCTTCTGTCGAGACGACGACAGATTTCGTACGATTTTGGAGAAAGGTTAAGTTATCGTTTACTCGCACTTTTTTCTCGTGCGGATGAGTTGCTCACTGTTTGTTACTTTATTGTAGAGATGTGGGTTGAGAAACTAAAAGGTCTAAAAAAGAAGATGCTAGCTTAGGCGGCTGCCAAGAAAACATCAGCTACTTTGGCAACGAAGTAGCCCATTGACGTCGCTAGCGTGAAACGCAGTGGCAGTGAGCTTGGGGAAGCCCATCGCTATTGCCCTGAAGGAAATTGGAGGGAAGAACATCTCTGAGCCCCAAAATGAGCTAGTAAAGAAAACACTCGAGTTGATTGGAGGCTCGGGAAAATAGAGGACACCCGAGTAGCATGATGGTTCTAGTAAGAGGAAAACAACCAAGCCTCTGGAGGGCTTGGGTAAACAAAAAGTGGTCGAGTAGCAGGTTGGCTTCGGTAAAGAGGTTGCCATGCATCCTGTCAGCCTAAAGAAAGTAGCGGCCAAGGACTTGGCCAAGAAGAAGTTCGCTCCTGCGGGTGAGGATGGCGCTACCGGAGGTAGTAAATCTAACTCGTCCTGGCCAAAGAGTAAGAAAGCAGATGAAGCGGCCCAAGCTACTGTCGATGCATTGATCGATCAACTCCTCGACCATATTAGCGTTGGGGCCGCAATGGCCAAGGACGAAATCACCCCGTGAACCTTCACGACCGTTAGAGATGCTGCTCAACCGAGATGCTGGCCTTAGTGTGTAGCTATGTGGTGAAGGTACTGGTAGTTCGCTCATTTTTCCTTTTACTTGCATGCTATCCTCACTTCTTGCTGACTTTCCATTTTATCCTTTTTAGGCTGCCATGGTGAGCTGGCTTCTTTATGATGATTGCTATGTCACCTTGGAGGGCACTCATAAAGGATGGCAATTGGTAGAAACGGTGAAAGAAATGATCTGGCCAGGGCCAAGGTTGCAGAGAAAGAAAATGAGGCCAAGTAGGCTGAGCTCGAACGACTCAGGGGAGAAATGGTGACCTTTGGGGTCAAGGAAAGGGAGTTCATTGACAAGCTCAATGTGAGTGAGGCTGGTCGAGCGAAGGCTGAAGCTAAGGTAGTGGAAGCCAAGAGGAATTTGGCATAGCAGCAAGGTGCCAATAACAAGTTAAATTCTGAGCTTTCCATGGCTCAAAAGGTTGCCTCGGACTTAAAGGCCAAATCTAAGTAGTCCTTGCTCGACCTTGTCCAGGAGGCGGAAGGTTGACTAAAGGCTGAAGTTGAGGTCGGGTAGCTCAGACTTCAAATTGAGGAGCTGAACGAGGCTATCACTACTCGGGCTTGGCAGACG